TTGACAGCTTGGCACCATCAGCTTTCTTCACCGCATTTGCTTATGTACCTGCTTTGTCTTCAGCATTCGTGTTGGGGTAGGCTGGTGTGCTTCTTCCTTGTCTCCACTCATTTTAATACCCTTTCTTACGTTTAAGAGAAAAATCAAGGTCTGAAAATTGGCGATAACTTAGCTTGTCAGTTTTGCCGCACTTAGTGCAGTTGTTTGCGCATGCGTTTGACACCTAAGATTGCATCTGATTGACTGCGCTGTATATCAATTAAGAGACAGGATTGATGATAGGCTTACGTCGGTTTTTTCAATGCCATGCGATCGACCCACACTACATTTCCGATCGTCTAGTAGATCATGGTCGACATATTGATCACCCCTGCTCTAGGGTGTATGTCTTTCTTCTTAACTTTCTCTCCATCTCTCCCTCGTTTCCTTCCATCCTTCGTTTCTTGTAAATTATGAGGGGGTGAAAGCTTGCAGAGCAAACCGGTTTTCCATTCAGCGCTTCCTGCACATTCTGATTTGTGACATTGCTGGAATCCCCACTGTGTCATGACCCTCGTCCCACTTCCTGCCAGTTCCTCGCGATGTCCCCTCGTCCTTCTCACCCATCCTTACTTGGCTTGCTGAGCTTTCTCCCTGGACAAATGCTGCCGATCGATCCTGGCCTCCTTGGGGTTCGCCTTCTCCTTACAGGCCTGCTTGTCCTTTGAGCCACAGGGTAACTCAGGGCCATCATCTCGGGGCGTCCACCAGCCCCTATCTGACCAGTAAGCTTGCTCCTTCGATTGTGACCTTGAACTTTGTTCCCCATTTTTCTTCCACTCTGTCTGGGACCCCCTATTGTGATCCCTTTGGGAGCCATCAGCAGGGCTAGTGGGCCACCAACTAGTGCTTCTGGTCCCCTGGGATGCGCTAGGCTGCAAGCGTCACAGAAGGAGCCTTGTGGTACAGTGAGTTACCTGTAGGCTGCTCACTGAAAGGTTGGCAGTTCGAAACCCAAACGACCACTGCTCAGGAGAAAGAGGAGGCAGCCTTCTCCCTACAGACTCAGTCTGGAATCCCTAGGGAGTCTCTGTCCTGTAGGGTGTCTCAGGAGTAGCAATAGACTTGATGGCGGTGGGTTTGGGGGCCCTTGGTTGGTTTGGGGTTTTCATCTCTATGGGGCAAACCACCAGGTCTTTTCTCCCGCTGAGCCTCAGGGTAGGTGTGCGCCATGCCCCTTCCAGTCGCTGCCCTGCATATCCCCCTTGCCCTGCCAGAGCCCCATCGGGAGGACATAGCAGAGGCGTGCACCGCAGGGGGTTGGGTTTCCCACGCACATTCTGGCCCCGTAGCCTCACTCCGGGCTCTGTCTGTGGTGCCAGCACTTATTGGGATGGCCGGGTGCAGCTGCTGCCCTCAGTGTTTGTCTCCCCCAGACCCTTAGGCAGGTGGGCACAGGGCCATTCCGGCTTCTGGTCACTGCTGGGCACGTTACACAAATGCCCCGTCTCGGGCACAGCCTCCGCTTGAAATGACTTCCCAGCGTCCTGCCAGCGCCCAGTGCCCAGTCCTCATGGTAGGTGGCCCCCAGCATACTGCACCCTGTGGGTGGGGGGGTGGTAGGTGGGGTATTTCTGGAAACTGCTTAAAGCCCTGAGACGGAGCTCAGACTCAAGGTGCAGGGTTGTGGCTGGGCATGGGATCCCAGGCACCAGGAGGGTCCTTCCAGGGCATTGCCCCCCCACCCACCCA